ATATATACACACATAGATTATTCAAACACATATCATATAAATAGTGTTAAACATTAAAGGTCACTTAAAACAAATGGAACAATGTTTGAACTCCGATATATATATATATATACACACATAGATTATTCAAACACATATCATATAAATAGTGTTATTGTTCTAATTTGGCAATAATCTGGCCAGGGAAGAAATTTAAAAAAATGTGAAACTTAATAAAAAATTGCTGTCAGAAGAAGCTTTAATGCCAAGAATGCTTTAATGCACATCAACAGAAAGGGAGGAAAAGAAGAAACTAGACATGCATTCAATTGTTTTATAGTTTCAGAACAGAAACAAGCATTAATTAATACACAAATAAGTTGGTGGCTGGAGGTGCTGGGTCATGTTGTGTGTTGGTGACATCGAAATGCTACGTTATGCTGTATATTGGTAGTATAAGATGCCAAGTTGTGTTAGTGAGACAAGAAGACTTGTATGAAAGAGGGGTTCAGCATCCTAGGTTAGCATTTTTGAACAAAATTATTTCTCTGTGAGACTAATAAATTAGTGAAATGGCTTGCCTGAAAATACTTCGTGTGTTGTTAATCTAAAATATTGTTAATGTCTGTTCAATGAGAAGGGCTACATTTATGCTTGAAGCTTTGGTTGGTTGACTTCTGGGAAAGAAAAATACCCTTGATGAACCTAATGACAATCTTATCACATGGATATTAATTAGCAGTAGACTTTGTAATAACAGGTAAATTTCCACCCTGTATCATTAACATACCTCAGCTTCATCAATAACAAATTTAGACTTGGAGAAAGTAGCCAGCTGTGCAGCCGAGCCTAAAGTCACTCTGACCATAGCTGCATTAACTCCACGCCAAAGTCCCAAGATGCCATGTTTGCCAAAAATCTTTGAAAATGCCTCAAACATTCCATGATAATGATGTTGGTAACCAACAGCAACAGAACCTGCCGACTGGGCTTGCAGTTGGGTCTTCACCTAAGAATATCAAAAACAATTATTTTATATACATACACACACACATTACCCAAAAATGTTAACAAGAAAGGAAGAGAGGGATAAAAACTGAACTTCTTTATCTTGGATGATATTTTTGAGCAGTTTCTCAGACAACAAGGCTAAAAACAAGGTGTTCTACAAATAGTATACAAATAATACAATAATACTTCTCTTACTCTCCCATATCTTGTATTTCTTATCTACAAAGTTCTTAAACTTTCTAAGTTCTGATTTTGAGATTTCCAGTTAACAAAATACAGCTTGAGGTACTATTTTTTGTAGCTTTACTCATCAAGGAACGTATCAGCTGTTTTACAGGATAGCTACATTGCATCCTCCTTGACCTTGTGTATGGGGGAGACTATCACATACAGCTGAAATACTTCTGCATTTTGGTGTAATTCTAGTGATCGGTCAGCTGTGAAAAGAACACGCTTTGTGAATGCAAGTTCTGGTACTTTTCGAGAGAGAAAATCCATTTCTATCCTGAAGGAGCCAAGACCTGCTAGTGAAGTTTGGTCCATATCTTTCTTCTGATTGGGCGTAGGTTAATTTTACTTAAAGTTAAGTAGAGTTTATTATACTTTCCTTTTCTTGCTTTATCATAAGGCGATAGTCCATTCTAATGATCAGCCAACTTTTAAGTTTCTTCAGAGAATAAAGCATCTTATGTTATTCAAACTTCAACACCGTGTCTAGTCAATAAACTTGAAACAAATCACTGTACTTTTTTCGCGTACTAAATCCACAAACCTTTCATTTTGTGAAGGTCTTGCGCAGGTACATCCTTTAATTACCACACACACATACAGAAGACAAATAAAACTTGGGTGAACTAAGGTATGGTAAGAGTAAAACATATCCCAAAAGTAGGACCACAAAACACACAGCAATAGGAATATACTGTCCATCACATTAAACCTCTTTTGGCAAGCCTCACACGTGGGAGGATTAAACACTAAGAGCAAATATGGGTGTTCAAACCCTCAACATTCCACTTATAAAACTATTATCTACCACCTATGCCTAATTACAAGAAGACAGCTGCTTTTCATAAAACAGAAATAAGAAAATAAAAATGAATGCTTTGGAAAAATTACCAATTGCAGAGAGCAATATAATTTTTAGTTCTGTGACAAAGTAGATCATAATATTTTACTAAAAAAAAGTTTTATTTAACATAAATGCTTTAGATGAAAAAGCTGATAAGAAATGTATTTCAGACCATTAACTGGTATTAATCCATTAATTATCATTAGTAATTCCACTGAATGTACAGCAAAAATTAAAGGCTTAGAAGCTATAAAAATAAAAACTTTTTATTTCGGTGATCTTTACCCATAGCCTTCCAATTGATAAAATTAAAGTCTTTCATGACCAACTTTAAAGCCTTTTAAAACTTCTGGTAAATTAATGCCTTGCATCAGTAAACAAAGAAATTTTTATGACAATGTCACTCATAAAAATTACCATTGAATTATTAAACGAATTCTTGAAGGTCAAGTATTTTTTTCTCGAGGCAATTTTGCCAAGTCTTCCAACATGTACAAGAAATTTCAATAATATATAACTTCAACCAAGAAGATACAGATTTATATTTATTCAAACTAGAAATTTCACACATAACAAATCTTAGTATGAAAGACTATAACAACACTCTGCACCTCAGTCATGCTTAGATATGTTGATTATATCCTTATACCTAACTACCAAGATTTTCTTAACACTAATTTATACACTGGAGATCATTCCCGACAAAAATCTTTCACTAGATATAAAGCAAAATACCTGGATTTAGATATCAGTATCATTAATCAAAGTTTTTTCAACAGAATGAATACTTTCAGTTTTGAAGTTATCAACTTTTCTTTTCCAAATACGGATATTCCAAACAAGCTACGTTACAATGTTTACTACTCACAGCTGCTTAGATACAATAGAAT